CAAGAATTCTTTATATGTATCGGTAAAAATTCCTTATGTTATGTTTTGCAAATATATTCTTCCAGTCTGTGGTTTTAAAAATATTTCCTAAGTGTGTTTCTCAAAAATTAGGTATTTATACTTTTTATGTATCAATTTTATCTTTTATGGTTCATGTTTATTTTGCCCCTTCAAATCTTTGCCTAACCCGAGGTATTAAGATTTTTTTCCTATGCTTTCTTTTATCATTTTAACTCCTGTGTTTCGGACCAAAATCCATATAGAGCTGATTTCTGTATATGATTGTGCAGTAGGATTGAAAAATTTGGATATGGGTCTAATTTTCCCAGCAGCATTTAATGGCAAGACCATCCTTTTCCTCCATTGAATTATCTTGGAAACTTTGTCAGAAATTAATTGGCCATTGTGTATGTGCATCTGTTTCTTCACACTGTATTCCTTTTTTTTCATTATATGTCCATCTTCATGTCAATAGCAAACTCTCTTCATTAAGGTAGCATTATAATAACTCTTAAAATCAGGTAGTGTAAGATCTCCAACTTTGCTTTTCATTTTAAAAATTGTTTTTGGTGATGTCAAGTCTTTTTAATTTTCATCAAAAAATTAAAATTAGTTTATTCATTAACAAAATTCTACTTTTTTTGATTTGCATTGACCCAATGGCTCAATTATGGGAACATTTACATCTTACCCTATATTGAATCTTCCATTAAAACTGTTCCAGATCGTCTTTAAGTTCTCTCTGCAATGTTTTAGAGGTTTCACTGTACAGATCATGTATGTATTTTGTGAAACTTATTCTTAAGCATTTCATGGTTTTTATGCTATTACATTAGTATTTTTAATGTAAATTTTCAATTGTTCACTGCTAGTGAATTGAAATATAATTGATTAACTTTTTATACTGAGACCTTCTTAAACTTACTCTCTAGTTCTAGTACCATTTTAGGAGATTCCTTAGAATTTGCTTCATTGATGATCATGTTCTCTGCAACTAAAAACAATTTCAATTTCCAGCCTGATTTTTCTTACCTTATTGCACGAGTTATAACTTCTAGTCCAATGTGAGTAGTATAGCACAAGATAAGAGTGGGCATGCTTGTATTCTTCTTGCTTCTGGGAAGCATTCACTCTTTAACCATGAAGCATGACATTTGCGACAGGTTTTCATAAGTGTTCTTTATCCGATTGAGGAAGTTCCCTTATATTCCTTATTTGCCAATAGTTTTAATTATGAATGGATGTTAAATTTTATCACATGTTTTTTCAGGGACTTTCCCCCATGTTACTACCAACACTTAAACTGTTTTTGCATATTTGAGGCACCTCCATAAATACTTGTTGAATGAATGAAGCTGGGCTAAATACCTCTGAGAGTGCAAGGCCACACTTGAGCTACTCAGAAGCATGAGATGAGCTAGGAGACATGAGAGAATTTGAATGCCTATTGGTCTGGGGGTACAAGATTTGCATAGATGATTATATGTGATTTTTATAACATTCCTATGAAGTAATTATCTCCATTTTTAAAAAGAGGAATGAGTAATAGATGGAATGATTAAAAAGCTATAATATGGTTGGGATGTGGGGAAGAAATCCTGTGTTTCATAACTCAATAAAGAGACATCATGAGGTTCAGAAAACAAAATAATATGCAAAAGAGGCTGGTTTCATATATAATGCAAGTTAAAATGGAGTGTGCTTTGTTCATTTGATGGAGCAAAAGAATCAAGAACCCAGTTGGTCTGGTTACAAGGAACATTGTTCTTGGAACAATGGTTGGACCAGTAAGAAGGAAATGTAATGCTTGCAAAATACTTGGCTCAGCCATCTATGACATCTTCATAGTCAAAATAATGTAAATTTAAGCTGTTCGTTTTGCAATCCTGAGGATTGGGTTTATAAAGAAACCAAAAAATGATTTAATTTTTGTTCCATGTCAAAATGCAGATGTTTATCGACCTTGACAAAGCAAAAGTTGAGATAGATCTGAAGGAAGTTATAAAGTGGGAAAGAGCCCTGGCCGAATTGCTTAATTGATTAGAGCATCATCCCATACACCAAAAGGTTATGGGATTATTCCCAGTCATTGCACATACCTACATTTACATTGCAGGTTCCATCCCAGGTCAGGGCATGCATAGGAAGTAGCCAATTGATATTTCTCTCTCCCCCCTCCCTTCCTCTCTCTTTAAAATCAATAAAAACATATTCTTGGTGAGGATAAAACACATGTATGTCCTTACGGGAGGATTTAAAAATATATATAAATAAAGTGGGGAAAGAAATGAGAACATTTTAGGGATGTTAACATTCATATTTTCCAAAATGGGAACATTTAAACCCTTCTGAGCCTCAGTTCCTATCTGCAAAATGAGATACTAATAAAGTTGTTGTGAGGATTAATGACTGTATGTAAAATGTCTAATGTATGATAGGCATTCAAATAGCTGTAGTAGTGATAGGAGCAAAGAGAGGCAGGCCTGTAGATAGAAGGAAAGAAACCCATTCCCCCTAAGAGGGAGCAGAACCTCAACTTTAAGGTCTATAATCACCTCTCCTGCAGACACTGTCACTGCCCAGAGAGCAGGTTGGTGGACATTAGAGTGTGTGTCCAGCCCATCTGAATGACATGACAACCCCGTGAGTGGTGTTATATTCCCCATTTGGCAGGTGAGGGAGTAAAAAGTCTTTGTGGCCAACTGATTTGCAAAGGACCAGCCCTGAAGTGGCTAAGCCATGGCTGACAACCAGCAACTGTGACTGGATTCTGTGGTCTGCCACTGAGCCAAGTGGCATAATGAATCTGAAATGCTGGGTGAGCTCCTGGCACATCCTCTGGCCACATTTCTAATGAATAGGCCCGTAGCTTTAATGAAAGGGGGAAAAGCTTATTTCCTTCAACAGCTGCAAATTATTTACATTGCATTTGTGGTGACGGCTAATAAAAGAGCAAAGGAGTGTGGGGACAGCCCAGGTGGCTGTCCTTATTTTGGGTCCATAATGAAGCACTGGATTAAATACCAACAAGTGAGCATGGATGTGTATGCGGCCCCTTTCAGACCTGTCGTAGACAGAGCTGCTGTCTGCCCTGGGAATGATCCAATCAGCAGAAATGGACATCAGGGGACAAGACTTGAGACTAGCCAGGCATACGTCCCTGCCCCACTAAACTACCTCTGGGTTAGTTCACAACTGCTGTGGAATCAGTGGGAAGGAGCAAAAAGGTGGCTCGGGCTAAGGGCACAGGAGCCATTGCAGTGAGGCTGTTCTCAAATCTAGAAGCTCTTGTTTTGCCATGTTTACTGAAAAAATATGTAATAAAACATGTATATATATTATAATGGGTGTTATATATTAGAATGTGTATAACATATGAGTGTGTGTGTGTGTGTGTGTGCGTGCACACGTGCGCGTGCTTTTTGGATACTGAGTATGGAAGAGTTTTTGGTTTTCTCACTATTAGTTATGAATGCTGTGGTCATCTTGGAAGTCACACCTGTGGAAGTAGCATCTTCATTGCTTTATAAAATCACATCTACCTCTCGGGTTGTTGTGTGGAGCATTATGTGTGTGATGACACTTTTAAACTGTGAAGCAGGGGGTGAGGCTTGGCATCAGGATCCTATCCTTCGATGATTCTACAGCTCCGTCTAACCTGTCATTTTGTTTCTAAAGCACCTGAGAATAGCAAGGCATAGGTCCCTGCCCCTGAGGTTACGTGGGGAATAAAAGGTCCCACCGAGGCACTCACAGTTGAGTAAACCAATGAATATTTTAGAAAGTTCACTCAGCATCCCAGTGTGGAGGGTGAATTAGGGTGGGGCAAGACTTCTTACTAGAAGACCAGTCATGGCTGCTATCTGGATAGGAGACAGTGGGGCCAGCACCAAATCAAGGCGATGGAATTGGCAGAAATGGAATATTCATCAGTTAAGATTCTCACACAGGAATATTACACCAATAAGGGCACGCCCCACTGTAATTCTGTACCCTTTATTAGCCACTGTTGACTATAAGTATCTTGTATTCATTTTCTAGGGCTGCCTTAACAAAGTACCACACACAAGGTAGCTGAGAAAAACGGAAATGTATTGTCTCACAGTTCTAGAGGCCAGAAGTCTCCAATCAGGTTGTCAGCAGGGCCATACTTTCTCAGAATGCTCTCTCCTGGCTGCTGGTGGTTTCTTGACTTGTGACAGCACAACTCCACTCTTCCCATGGCGTTCTCCTTGTGCTCATGTCTTGTCTCTGTGTTGAAATTTTCCCTTTTTATAAGGACACCAGTCATTTTAGATTAGGTCCTGCCCTAATGGCTTCATTGTAACTTGATTACCTCCATAAAGACCCTATTTCCAAATAAGTCATATTTCAAGGTGCTGGAGGTTAGGACCCCAACCTATGTTTTGGGGGACACAATTCAACCAGTAAATGATCAGGAAATATTCAAATGTTCATTATATCTTTACAGATATGTTGGTACTTATATGTACATGTATGTATGTGTATGAAATGCAGTAGCAGTTTCTAATTGTGGATCACATTAGGCTGAAGTCAGAAATCAGGTTAGAAATCCCAGCACACAGCCATAATCTGCTAGTCTGTTGATTGATCATGGACTTAAACTCTGAAACATCTATTAATAGATGGCAGTTTTTGAGAATGAAAGCTTTTAATCCATTTTTGACAATATCTATACGGGGCATCCAGAAATAGAAATAATGGGGCTGTGGTAAGGTAAACGGTCCATGACCTCTTACAGCCACAACCCGTGTTTGCGTCTCGGTGCTGGCCTTACTTTCTGTGTGCCTGGAGTGAACTGTCGCGCCTCTCTCTTTAATTATCTGGAGCCTCCTTGGCTATAAAATGAGACTTCACATGCTCTATGGTGGTTGAATGAGAGCCTACAATTGGATAAATATACAATATTAATATTATTATTATGGATTTGTTATTCAAATGACGATCTTAAATGTCCATCTTTCTTTTCTCCCCCATAGTCAACAAGCACAAGCCATGGATCGAGACATCGTATCATGGAGTCATTACTGAGAACAATGATACAGTCATTTTGGACCCACCGCTGGTAGCCCTGGACAAAGACGCCCCAGTTCCTTTTGCAGGTAAGGTGATGGCTTAGCCTGGCTGGGCTGGGCTGGCTGTGGAGACGAGCTGGGGAACCTCACCAGGCCCAGGCTCCAGCTGTATAGCTGTTGTCACTATGCTGTGGGTCTTACAGGTCAGCCTGTGATTCCGAAGCTGCCTGCCTCTTCTGATTTCTGGTGCGGATTCTGTATCTCCGTATGGTTTTTGTCCTTGGTGTCATTCCCAATGCAAGATGCTTATTGCTTCTGCTTCTGAGAGGTGGTATATTGCTGAAGTGGCCCCTGGATGTTGGAAAAGTTGGACTAGTACATTCCATAGGGGAGTTGTCTCTAGAAAGATGACCTACAGACATAAGAAAATGTATGACCACTGTCCCCACTACCCACATATCCTGGACAGGTGGAAACTTGTAGCTTCCTAGATTGCTAAGAGGAAAGGGAAAGAAAAAAGACCAGGAGACACTTGCTCAAGGTAGGACAGAGTCGTGCCCTTGAGCTTCAAAGTGGGTGTTGCGTGTGGAGGAGGAACCCAAAGGCATGCCATTTGGCAGTGTGCGGCTTGTGGACAGAGAGCCTTGTCATTTTCAAGGCTACGGCTACTTCCTCTCTAACCTGCAAAGTCCCGGTCCCAGGTCGGGTGTGTGAAGCGTGCGGCCATGTCTCATGTTTCCATGGATTTTTGGCAAAGAGAAGGGGATGGGTGATGGCAGGGGGCGGAGAGACTGAACAAAGACTTCCTGAAGATGCCTGCATCATGAGTAATATTGTTAACATTTTATAACTGTCAGGAGACAGACAGGAAATTTAATGAAGGTTTTCAAGATTTCTAGAAGATTGCTTTATGATAGATGGGTGCCCGGCTGAGGTTTTCGCCATGATGAAGTCTATTTTTTCTGACAGTTTGTCTGCTACATTATGAGCTCCTTGGGCAGAAAAAAAAAAATTGGTTCTTTTGCACTTTGAAGAGGTAAGCTTTGTGAAGGGCCTTTTTTCCATTACAGAATATTATAAAGTGAGGAGCGAGGGGGCGGGTTAAATGGGGCAAATTCAGCCCGATGTGAAGATAAACCCGTAGGCATTCTTGCAGAGCATGGGGCAGATGCTCTGAGCTCTCGGAAGAGGCTTTATCTTGATGTTATGTTGAATGATAACCACCGCGGCCACCTGACTGTGACTTCCATGGTGTGGAGTTGGGACATTTCCATACATCCTCCCGCCATCCTCGGAGTCTCAGCTCAAGCAGATTCCACTGGGAAGTTTAAACCCCACGCTGTCTTTTCCACAAACGACGAGGCGTCTCCCCCACCCTTTTGCCGGCCTGGGAATATTCTAACTCCTCTCTTTCTTGGACATAACTAAACGGTATTGGGGTTAATCAACAATTCTTAACAGTCTCCGGAAATGAAATTTTAAAACAAACACTAGCAAAAACGTTTGGGTTATGAACATGTTGGGTTTGGCTTACACTGTGTGCTTAAACAAATCAGACATAACCTTTAGCGATTGGGAGATTGAGCATAAAAAAAAGGAGGATTCTAGTTGATGTTGATGAATCAGGTCAGAATGCAGAGCCCAGTTGCCACTTCCCTCTCCAGACACGCCATGTGCTCCTGGCTTCCCTCCGCCCCTGCTACCCCAGAGCCCATGTGCAGAGATCCTTCCACCCGGCGGGCCCTCCCAGTCACCTTTCCATCCCATTGTGTGATCCCTGTTTAAAACAGAGAAAACCAATGACATTTTAAATGGTGAGCAAATGGATGCTGTTAAGCCACGTTAGTGTAGTGAGGCTAGCTCTTTAAGGGATGAGGGAGGTGTCTGATTGTTATGTCTGCCCTCGGTACGGCCCTGTTTCATCATTTAGTGAACTAGAAAATGAAAGTGGTTGAAAAACTGTTCTGCAGTCCAATGATAAGCGTTCTAATGTACAGACCAAAATGGGGGTGGAGTGGGGGTGGAAGGACCATTTCAAGCAAATCTGATCCTTGAAAGTTTAGATTTACAAAAGATCACTTACCTTCTTTGGAGGTAGGCCTCAGGGACAATTATCAATTTTACCTGAAGCGTCACCAAAGGACTTCCTTAAATCATAAACCTACCAAATGCAATTAAACTTGAATTTGTATTCTAACCATCATATGTGCCCATGGGTTTCCAGGCACATCTTGAAATGAAGGTTTGCTTCTAAACCAAGCCCTGACTCGTTATTTTCATCTGAAGGCAATTTCTCTACTATCCCTGATATTTGCTGCTGTATTAAAGAAATTCTTGCTTAATGCATCAAAATATAATCTTCCAGGCTCTTAAGAGCAAAAAAGAAAGATGCTTTTTAAAATGGTCAAAGCTATTTTTCTCCATGTTATTTATGATTAGCTCTAAGGCAGAACACAGGCACTAGCCATCCATCTATGCTGCAAGCGTTTATTTTAAAACATTTATCTTAAAAAGAAAATACAGATTTATTTCAGATCCCTATCATTCTCATAAAATTGAAAAATTCATATCTGCCAGCTCCATCACTCCTTGAAGTCAACTGCAGCCTCTAGTCCCCCCTTATCAACTGCTCTTGTATTCTGTCCTGTTCCACCCCTTTCCCACTGGTCTGGATTTCCAATTTAGCCTGCGAGGTAAGCTAGAAGCTTTGAGGGCGATGGTTCCGTTTGTATTATTTTTGTTTGTTTGTTTTTCCTGTGATTTCCACTTCTCCTTTAAAAAAATTTTAAAGAAAATTTTCTATGTAAAGTGTCATTTGTTTAAATAAAAAAGCATGATTCCATTTTCCATATAAATGCAGGGCTTTAAAATAATTTTTATTGTATAGCTCCTGATTTTGACAATAATAAGTGTTTATTGTAGGAAATGTGAAAAATATAGCAAAGCACCAAGAAAAGTATGAAAAATGTTTTCTTATCCCCAGAGCCTCTGTTAACAGTTTAGTGTATTCCCTTCCACTGATTTTTCTACTTTGTTTTCTACCGTATAGTCAATATTATAACTTATTTTTCCCACTAAAAAAATGAAAATATACCATTTTATTAAATACTCTTATGCATCTGATTAAGTGGATGAGTAAATGGTGTGGGAATGCTTCCCTATTCAATTAATATTCTATAGTTTATTATTCTTTTCTCCAACTTTATTGAGATATAATCAACATATAACACATGTGTAAGTTTAAAGTATACAGTGTATTGATCTGATAAGTATAGGTATTGTAAAATGATGAAACCATAGCCTTACCTAACACATCCAGGACCTCACATAATTACCGCTATGTGTATGTGTTTGTGTGGTGAAAACATTTAAGATCTTCTCTCTTAACGATTTTCAAGTATCAAACTCAGTGTTGTTAACTATAGTAATCATGCTATCCATTAGATTCCCCAAACTTAGTCATCTTATAACTGAAAGTTTTTCCCCTTTGATCAACATCTCCCTATGTCCCCTACCCTCCTTGTCACCACTATTTTTCTCTTTGTGTCTGTGAGTTTGGCTTTTCAAAGCTGATTCCACTTATAAGTGAATCCACATATAAGTGACAACATGTATGTGATATAAATGATTCCACATAATAGTGATAACACATATAAGGGAGGCCATGTAAAAGAACCTACACATAAGTGACACCATGCTGTATTTGTCTCTCTCTGTGGCTTATTTCACTGAGCATAATATCCTCAATGTGGTCCATCTATATTGTAGCAAATGGGAGGACTTTCTTCTTTCTCGTGCCTGAATAGAATTCCATTGCATCCACATACATGCCGTTATCCTTTCATCTGTTGGCGGGCACTTAGGCTGTTTTCATAGATTGGCTATTGGGAGTAATGCTGCAGTGAACATGGGAGCATTGGTATCTGTTTGCTATCCTGATTTTATATACCCAGAAGTGGGATTTCTGGATCCTATGGTAGTTCTATCTTTAATGTTTTTAGGAACCTCCATACCATTTTCTTTAGTGGCTGTACGGCTTACATTCCCATTAATGGTACACAGCAAGTGATTTAGTGACAATATAATGGAATCGCCAATTACAGGAGCCTCACTGCCTTTATCGGTAAAATAATATAAGCTTTCCAGGGTTGCTGTTTTGATTAAATTTAAAGACCGTCTTTGATGCATGTTGTAGTGATTCGAGATGTCGAAGTTTAATAAAGTTTAGTTTTCTTTTCCAGATCCTTCTGTCTGCCTGTCTCATAGATAAGACATCTAACTCACAGAGAGACCCCACCACTTGCTCAGTATCTCAGAGCAGGCTAGCTGTGCGGCTGCGCCTCTCCACCTGCTCTGAGTCTCTCTTCCTATTATATCACGTTTTGTACCTGCCCCACCTGATTAGTAGAGGCACCAACTCTTAGTCCGAGAGACTTCCCTCGGACCTCGGTTAAGTCTGTTAGACCTGATTTAATTCTCAACCCAGTATCTGAGCCCAGTGGACATGACCTTCTAAAAGAATCAGATACAGAAAAATCCTTGAGTAATAATGAAAATTCTATCCGCTGCATGGCAAAAAAAAAGATAATGAAAGCAAATTGGGTACATTTTGAACTTATTAATTTCTACATGAGCCCCACGGAGGCTTGTTAGGAAACTGTGGAGACTTTAAAATTGGAAGGAAATTAGACTGCTGCTCAGAGAAAATAGAACTATCCATTTGTCCACATTGGGTCGGTCTGGACTTGTCTTTTGTAAGGGGAGTGCTTCAGAGAATGATCCACATCATTGGCTGGCTCCTCCGGCTGGGTGCCTCTCCAAAGGCTGCCCAGGAAATTGCCTGGGACATGGTTTGGCCGGGTGTGATTGGCTAGTTGCAGCAGGAGGTGCTCTTTGCTCCATGATTAACTCCATCTGTCCTTGTTCTGCACATTTGTCTGCCCCTCTCTTGGGACCTGTCCTGGGCCCTTGTGTGTGCTTTGGGCCCCACAGGTGCCTGATGGCATTGACCATCCCTGAGGGCCTGCAGTGCCATGGTTTCTCATGGTGAGAAGGGAATGCTGGTTGTGAACAGCTGGTTGACCGGA